TCGCCGGCGCGCCGCCTCCCCGACGGCGCGGCGGCGCTTTCCCGCCGGCTGGCCCGCGCGCCCGCGCCAGCCTCCTGTCCCGACCCCGCCGCGGCGCCGCGCCGCCGCCTGCGGCACGCCGGTGTAGCCGCGCCGTCTCCACTCGCCGGATCCACTCGCCTCCACTCGCCGGCCGCCTCCCGTCGCCCCCGTCAGCCGTCGCCCTCCGCGCGCCGCCGCGCCGCCCAGCGCCGCCCACTACGCACGGTCGCAGGGAGCAGGGAGGATTGGGGATTTGGGGATGAAAGGATTGAAATGGACGGTTGCCCGGTTGGAGACTGGATTAGTGGCCGAGTGGGCCAAAATTTCTTCCAATGGGCTGGGCGCCTGGGCCAAAATGGAAATAATGACCTCAGAGGTGGTCGTGGGCTGTCTTTCCTTTATATTTTTGGCCCAAATCACGAATTTCTCTTCCTCCAGCCCCCACATCCCATAAAAAATTTTAGTGGGGTCTTAAGGGGGTCTCCACTGTCCCGGGAGCGGTAGTGGGGTCTCGAGACCCCCCCGCCCCCACAGTAAATCCGCCCGTGCTGACAACATGTATCTTTATTTCAATTCAAGTGCTGTTACCTAAGAGCGATGTATTTGTAGAATTTCTTTTCATGTACAGTAGTAAATTAATTAACTTTCACGTCAAAAGCTCTTCTTGTATTAAGCGTATCCACTGGAAAGGACGCTAACACCATAAATACATATCTTTAGGATTTTGAGGGAACTATAGCAGGCATGTTCGCTAGCTCAAATCGAGATTATAGTGGTCTCATCAATATTTAATCACTCCATTACTGTTATCTAGCATCCGAACCAGGCTAGATTAATTTAACATTCCTTATTTGACTTCCCTTTTGTTTAAGAGGTCCTGTTGACTGGTTGGGAAGCAGCTAACCTACGTTCATCCCAGCCGTGTGTCAGATATGTCAACTACTGGGCCTATCAATTGGCAGCTGGTGCAAAGCGAGCGACCAATAAGCTAGCAACCCCGAAAATTTCCATGTTTGGACCCCATTTTCAAAAGTTCTCTTCTGCACTCTATTGATTTGGCTAGTACAAATTTATTTTTTTTTCTCTCATATGTGTTCAATGATAATCATGTCAACCACAAATCACTACTACAAAAAGGCACATAGAAGTCAGCATTAATTATAGATACCGGAACAACTAAAACCGACACCTATTACGCTTTACCTGTCCACCGAAGCGCCCGCGGGGGTGCTAGAGGAAAAAATCGGCACCTTTAAGTATTTATAAGTGCCGATTTTGAAAAAAAGACTAACAACTATACTATAGATGCCGGTTTATTTATGTGTGTTTATCTTGTGTTCTTGATGGTCATGTGTGTTCTTAGATGTTCATGTTGCTTTCGTGTTCTTAGATGTTCATGTGTGTTCTTAGACGCCTCAAGTGCAACCACCTCAAATGCTTAGATCCAATCTCTAGAAGTCGCGGCTGCCACCGTGTGTCATCCACCTCATCTCCTGGCTTGGAACCTATGGATTGTTGGCTCTGATACCATATTGTTACGAACCCACTCTATGTGATTTAGTGAATTTCAGCACAAGCACACAATTCTTCCTCCAACACTTGATACATGAGTATTTGGGATACAGATGGGAGAAATGGAATCAAGACTGAGAATTAGCAGTAGATTGGAGAAGAAGAGATAGCTATGGATTAGAGAAGAGAAGAGAGATACAAAGGTTGAAGAAGAGAGAGCATCGGAAGGAAGAACTCAGGTTTCATCTATTTTGTTTGATCCCCCCATCTGTTGGCTCTGCTTCTTTTGTAGAGGCTTGAATGGTTGGCTTATCACAGCGGATTGGGCCTAGCCAGCCATGGGCTCAATATGCATACCGATCCAGCCTAGTTACATTACAATCCACGAGTACTAAATATATATGGGATTTAGTCTATGCACTAACAGATGCAAAATCAGGGACGAAGGTAGTAACAATTCATAACAAGTAAATATATAGGTAACCACAAATATAAATACTTTATATTATACTGGAGTAGTCTTTGTTGTTAGCATACTTTTTTTAGAAAAAAAAGAAGGGAGAAGCTTTGTCTCGTGAGCCTTGCTCCGGTGCTCTCTACTGGTATTAAAAAGCGATAAAAATAATCTATATATCTATTATATACTAAAAGTCCATTAAACTTCCTAGAAACGCTCTTAAATCGCCACGTGGCATTCCTACAAATACTCCTAAGCCACCACATAGCACTCTTTAATCTTACCGTCAATTTTCACTTAAATTGGTGGGCCCATTATTTTACACCATTAGATTAGATCTATTATTAAAAAAATAATAAATTCCTCCTACTTATATGATATACAGAGTATAATGGTGCGTACGTACGTACGATTGAAGCAATTACCTACTGTTTACAAAAAGAATCATACAAACTTAGGTAAAAAAAGACAGTAAAAATACATGCATCCATAAAAATCGATGGTCAACAGACTTACGTAGGTGAGAGAGAGGACAGGAAGAGACTAAATTCTTTATTCAATCTAATCTGGTGGTTTAAAACACTAAACACATCAATTTAAATATAAATCGAGGGCTATGTTTTTTAAAACTATCTATCTATCTATCTATTATATGCTAAAAGTCCATTAAACTTTCTACAAACACTTCTGAATCATCATATGTCACTCCTACAAACGCTCCTAAGACGTCACGTGGCGCTCTAATAAATCAAAGAAAATCATAAGAATTCTAATAAAAACAAAATTTAACCATCGATTTTTCTTTTAATAAGGTGGACCCATCATACATTCTCCACCATTAGATTTATCTTAATAAAAAAGATAAGACAGGGAAAAGACCCTGGACTCGGACGGTCCATCATGCTATACCGCGTGTCCGGTTACGAGCCGGTTTGGCCGTGGCGGCAAGTTTATCGCTAATTAACTTATCTCTGTATATACGTAGCACAAGCTGAGATTAATTAGCTCCCATATTATGTTACTACTAACTCATAGCTATATTTATTATATACACAGCAAAATATATATATATATATATATATATATATATATATATATATATATATATATATATATAAATGGAAGCTAGGAGATTAACACTGAGATTATACATATATAGCTAATTAAATTAGTTATACTTGATTTCTGAAAGGAGATTAACGGCAATATAATATAGCTAATTAAATCAGTTTGCATGGTTTGCGGCAACATTACATAGCTAATTCGAACCAATGCATTTGGCAGTCTCTAGATAAATTGTCCAGCTTAAATCTGTCTATCTAAGATCTGATCTGCTTTAAATCATCGTGATATCTTTAAAATTTAAAAATGATTTTTTAAAAAACAAAATACATGATAATCGCTTTAACTTAAATTGTTTTGAAAAATTAGAAAAACAAAGTCCCCTCCACCCCACCCTGACCATCACATACGCACAACACTTTCCGCCCCCTCCACTTTTGGCTTGGGTTATCCGCTCTCCACTTCTCTCTATATCTTTTAGAGTAGCAATGATAAAAGAGAAACAACCAATAATATCGAAACTTCCATAGTTATATTAAGCTACATGTCTCATATCTATTCTAATTGTTGATCTTTACATAATTAAACCAACAAATTTAGATTCATAATAACTGGTATAAAATAGAAAAAAATTATCAATAGGGGCTAAATTGAACCAATTGTAGAACATCTAACAAATTTGTAAAGAAATGGTTTTTAATTTTCACTTAAACTGAAACAGCCGTTGCCATATCAATTAAATTGGCCTTCCCTCTATCTATGATGCCATGGTATTATGAATTACTTCACGTATTATTATATATATAATTCACACTAAAATAGCAACATATAATTGCTTAAAAGTTATATTTGTTAGTATTAGATTTAAAATTTAAGACTCATATTGACTAGGTATATTTAAAAAGCTCTATAGGTCACACGTATCATAGGGAAGCAAGGTCTAGATTATATACATCTCCTTTGCATTTATTGATCATATAAAGTATGTGTAAGAAATTACATCAATATGAACAAATTAGAGAGAGGGCTAGCTTGATAGTACAAATAAACATATTTATTAGCAACAATTGTTTGTTAAGATTTGTAAAAAAAGCTCTAAATATTCAATTAAAAAAAGAAAAAAAACACCTTACTTTTTATCCAAACTTAATTTATTAGAAATGTATGATAAACAAACAAACTAAGTCTATCTTATTTTTAAATAACTAGGAAGACTGTAAATAATTAGTTGTATATATGCATTAAGTACTGTTATATAGTATAAAGCTAACAAATAGCTTAGAAAATTTATTTGAGCAATACCGATACGATAAAGAAATTTGTGAGGAAAACGAACTTATGAAGCATGGTATGTGCCATCCGTTTGATATTCCACCCATATAAATTCATCAAAACCATGATACATGCCCGCGCGGGCTACCTTCTTAGTTGATTTAATTTGATCGAAGGATTTAGATGTATTTCTACTACCATCTCATCTAGCAGTAGTAAAATCGTGGAGGGGCATATTTGACCAAAGAAATGTATCCACAGAGGGGTATATTCATCATTCAACACTTATTAACCCTAGCAGCGTATACGCTCCTCTCACCACAACATAAGACGGCGCTGCTCGCGTCTGAACGCTCCACTCCTCAATCAGCCGACGCCACCGCTCGAACTCGCAGCTAACGCCACCACATGTTGTCTTCTCCCCAATCGGAGGCTCAATCAGCTGCCGCAAGTCCAAGCGAAAGCAACATCAAGTCCTAGGCTCTGCCAACGCCGATGGTGGCAATTGACAACATCAAGAACCAGCGACGCGCCTCGGCGTCGTCCCCACCACGGTCCAGTAGCAGCAACACGAGCCCCAAGGCTGCTGCGATGACAACCCCGACGACTCTAGCCATGCCATCATTGAACACCCATCGCCGTCATAAACCACTCTACGATGATGAACTCCTTCCTGACGGACGTGCGCCGGAGCCCGGAGCCATGGAAGCGACCATGGGATTGATGATAACAAATTGACATAGAAGAGAGAAAGAGAAAGATCAAAGTTACCCTTAATCTGTACCAGTACATTACTAATTTACTCTGAAGAATAAACGGTTCAGATTATTTCTACCGGTACCACCAGAGCGTCGCTCTTGTCTCGTATATATCGATAGAGAGTGGGTCGTCAACATACTTGTACGTAACCCTGCAAGTCGTGTCTGAATTAGTGTACTAGCGGTGGTTGATGGAGCTGCACTTGTTCCTGATCTCCCCCTTGCTCCCCGCCGGCATGGGCAGCTTGCTGAGCTTGAGCAGCGAGGCGGCGAAGTCGTGGTCCCAGAGGGCGGCGTTGTCGGCGTACTCGTGGACGTGGCCGCGCGCCTCGTCCTGCGTCAGCAGCTGCCAGTCCGAGTTGAAGTTGACCACCTTGTCGAGGTTGTTGCGGTAGTAGGTGTTGTCCAGGGCGCTGACCGGCCGCAGCTTGCCAACGAACGCCGGCATGAACCTCGCCACGGTGGCGAGGTCCTCGTCGCGGGCGTTGTTCACCACCGCGGGGTCGGCGCCGCCGCCGCGGGAGCACTTGTAGTTGAGCAGGTTGCGGTAGGATGGCGTGATCTGGTCGGGCGGCGCGGCGAGGCGGGCGGTGAAGGAGGAGCAGTGGCCGTCGCCGACGGAGTGCGCGCCGGAGAGGACGACGAGCTCCTCGACGGTGAAGTTCTTGCGGGCGAAGCTGTCGATGAGCTGCCGGATGGTGAACGTGGGCTCCGGGAGCTCCGCCTGGGCCTCGTTGGCGGAGGAGACGAGGCCGTCGAGGCGGCCCGCGGGGACGTCGAAGCGGACACGGCCGTTGCTGAGGATGCTGCTGGCGTCGCGGGCGGCGAAGATGAGGATGTCGGCGCAGGAGACCACGCCGGGGCACCTCCTCTCGAGATCGGCCTTGATCTCCTGCAGGATGTCGAATCCTTCCAGCCCGATGCTCACCGGCGCCACCTTCTCCGGCCGAGGGTTCACGCCGGACGCGTCAAGGAGGACGGAACCATCGCAACCCTGCATTATTCATGCATTTATTGTGCATGCAACAACTCATTTCTCAACTCCCAACTTTCCAAGTTCTTGAAGGACCGAGTTTGAAAGTCGAGTGACACATGACATTATAATCTTAATTATGTTATTATTTTTTTAAAAAAAAATTATAGTCGTTTAAATATATAGCATGCGAGACGTAGATGACAACACGTATGTCCATTCGATCGAGTTCGTTGTAATTGACTTCACTTTACCGTGCTTAAAACCACCAAAGTTAGCTAGGTGGGTCAGTTTAGAACTTTGAGAAGGCATGTGTGTCCTGAAGGTGTAAATAAATTAAATTACTTCCTCCCATAAGACATACATGAATTGGATTTTAGGTTCATTTTACTCATGCCGTTAAAATAGTTAAGAAATAATCCTCCAAAAAATATTAAATATCGATCATAATGCCGAATATTTCTACACGAACACAGAATATCAAATTATTCGATTTGTACCCTGACAAAGCAGTCATGGAAGATGAGGCGGACGAGGGCGGCGCCGTTGCCCCTGTTAAGGATGATAGCCTTGATGACGTGCGACTTGACGACGTCCTCGACGCCGGAACATTTGTCGTCATAGTAGCCCACCTTCAGCTCGCCGGCGAGAAGTGTTACCCACAGCTGGACGGCGACCAGGGAGCAGATGACTGCCACCGTGAGCCTCATGCTGATCACAAATTAACCTACTCCACCTAGCTAGGAGACCAAAAGCAACAAAGCTGCAGGGAAAACTGCTTGAACTGCGAGAGCTAGCTGATGCTAAAACTCATGGTATGGAGGGGTATATATATTATTTGCCTGCAGGGCTTGGCCGAATTTTTTTACGGCTATATGTACTGACTGTACTGAGAGTAATGCAGTGATATTTACGGTGTTGAGACAGTGGATTATGTGAGTACCACTAACACTGTAAGTATACTCTACACAAACACATCGTCCTGTCTACTGTGAAGAGCTAGAGTACTATACTATAATAGTAGCAATTAATCTTGGAGAGCTAAAGTACTTTATCGAAAATAGAAGAACTGCAATAATAGAGCTATAGTGCCAGAAAGACTTTGCCACCATATAAGGTGTTCGTTTTTCTGAAGTCCCATCGTTTTGGATATGGCACTTAAAAAGTCATCAATCGACAGTTATATTTGATTTGTATTCAACTTCGAATTAATTTGAACATGCGTGCCTATAGAAAATATATATCATCTATTGATCGTTATTTTTTTAAAAAAGCTAGCAATTGATTTTTTTATGGCATAAAAATTTAACCGGTTCTTAATTTAATCGGAACAATTATGATTTTGAGTACCATGGGAAAAGATTAGTTCTTCACTAGTGAAAAGATGAGAGGACGTTCTCTCTCAAGGGAAAAAAACACTTTCCCTCCAGATTCAATTCTCAAAGTGACTGTCTTCTCTTCAGTTGCCTGGAAACAACAAAAAGGGTCAGTCAAATTTGGATGGCCAGGATTTCTTCAAGATTCGAGCAGCCCTAACCTTATCCTCCTCCTTCCCCCAACTCCTGACACCATCATCACTCGCCACTTCTCCACCGGACCAGCCTCCCCCCTCCCCGCACCTAGTGGCGTATCTAGGACTTAGGGTATTGGTCGCCGACTTAAAAATATTTGATAATCACTGTAAATATAACAATGCTAATGTATACGAAGTAGACTAAAAGTACACTATGATATATTAATAAGGCATCTTGAAAGCATTTTAAAATTAACAATTAAGTAAAATTTTGAGTTAAAAGAAGCTTGTATGCCTAGAGAAGTTTGAAGAAGATTACTATACAACAACTGGGGAGAAGAAGGCAATTTAGAAGTATTCTTCTCTCCTGAATGTTTCTGAAAAAGAGATACTATATTTTCATCTCTATTCATATTTCAATCATCAACAATCTACTGTACAATAGTACAGTTTAACATCAAAACTCACAAGGGTTAAAACTATAAATTAAGAGTAAGTCTAGAGGCCTTAAATACCTTGCTTACAGTTTTGTGTGGGCATCGCCGCTGCTCCTGCCAGCTGCGTGCCGCAGCCCCACGTGGCACCGCCACGCCACTGTACCTGCACGATGCATTAGGGCGTTCACAGTGCGTCACTGATTTTTGTTGTTTCTTATATGCCACGTAGACAAAGAATCTCGTAAGCCTTATACTCCACAGTGCAAGTTGCCTTGAGTAGGGTTCACAGCTTTTCCTCTCTCCCACTCGGCTTTTCCTCTCTCTTCCTCAACGGAAGCACCTTCCCTCCCCTCTCTCTCTCTCAGTGCATCGTGGATTTGTGGCCGAGCAGCCAAGCGGCGACGGCGGCGACCGTCGGAGGAGCGGCGGGGCTTGGCTTCGCCGGCGCACCACCCTCCTCTCCCTCCGCCCCCCCAGCACCCGCGAAAAAACGGCGAGCGCCGGCCCGCGGAAGCGGCGAAGGATTCGACGGCGGAGGACTCGGCGGCGGAGGGCTCGACGGCGGAGGAGCTCGACGGCGGAGGGCTCGGTGGCGGACGAGCTTGACGGCGAACGAGTCGGCGGCAGTCGATCTGGGACGGCGCCGGGCGGTAGGGGACGATGCGCGGGAGCTCGACGGGGGACGACGCACGGGAGCTCGGCGGTGGAAGGCGTGCGGGGGCTTGACGGCAGATCTGGCCTCCTCTTCCTCCGACGCCAACAACGAAGTTAGGTGCTGCCGCCATCTTCCTTCTCCTCGCCGCAGCCTCCTCTTCGTCCGGCACCCCCATCTTCCTTCTGTCGTCGCCGCCCCGTCGTCGAGCTCGCCAGATCAGGCCTCGAGTTCGCCGGATCTGGCGAGTGGCACTTCTTTGGGGGTTCGGCGCGGTTTGCTGGGTGTGGTGACCTCGCCAGCGACCGAGAGGAGGAGAACGCTGGCGGCGCGTGAAGCCACGGAGTGACGAGGCAATGACCTCCACAACGCCGCGCCCCACCTTTCTCCCTGTGCCGCACACCTCGATTGAAGCGAGGTCCGTATGACCACTTTTGGCTCCGCGGCTGGCCGACGTGTCGTCGAATATGCGAATCTTTGGCGTAAGGCTGAATGACACGTCCTTGCATTGTGAATGCCCTTATTGCTGCATACTGGTTGCTGCATGCTGGCTGCCGGTGCTGTCACAGTGCATTGGAGTGGAGGCTGGCGTGCGCGAGAGAGAGAGTGTGTGTGTGTGAGTGTTACGGACTCACGGTCGAACGCTGGCTGGTCGCGTGAGGTAGGCAACTAGGAGGCAGAGCCGCTGAGAATGGCAGAAGCCAGACTAGAAGTGAAGCTGACTGGTCGCTTCGGTTTCAGTTGGTTACTTTCATTTTTCTTTTTTTCTTAATTTATAAAACCTATATTAAGATGGGTCTTGGGCCAGCATTTTTTTGGTTCGGGGACCACCCGGACCACCCTACAGATCCGCCCATACCCCCATCCCTGCCTACCCCTCTCTCTTCCTCCATAAGATGGAAACGGCAGCATGCTCGCGCGTCGCCATCTTCCCTGTCTCCGGAGGCTCGTGCCGTCATCGTTGCCGCCTCCTAAACCCATGGCCTCACACGCCCCTGCCGCCAACCCCGGCCACCATCCTCATGTCTCCAACAGCACCCTCACCGCCTTGATCGCCCTCCCATCGACGCCGTGGCCACCGTCCGCCGGTTCGACTTCCACCTAAGGCCATCTCTATGCAGAACACTAGCAAATATCATTCACAAATGCACTAGAAACACACGAAATTAAATGACACCAAATGCATGACACTTCGATTTGATAATCGGTAGGAGTATATATATTAGCATGTACCAACCATATAGTCTTCTTCTATAATCCCTCTGTTTCAAAATATAACTACTCTTAGCATTCAAATTTTCTATTTTAGTTAGTTCTCCATATGCCTTCTCATCTCAACCAATCATAATTATGTCTTATTTAATTTCTCTACCTACTTTCTCATTCCTTTCTGGGGGAGCTGTTGAAGACAAGGAAGATGGAAGGATGGAGAAGCCGCCACCAGCCTGCGCTACAATATACCAGGCCTTCCTTAATGCGGATCCATCGTTGCTCCATGACGAATTTGCAAAAGGAAAATCATTATAAAGTTTAGCATCAGCAAATTCTAACGACAACTCGAGGTCTTGGTCATAAGGAGTGTTCCCAACAATAAATAGGATCGTCACAAACACTGGGGGTTTCATCGTTAGCAGTTAGACTATTACATCATGATGAAGAATTTCGTCATAGAACTTGGTAGGTAGGATCCTCATGGTTCCACAATGTTGGTCCCATTTGTGATTCTGAGATTATATGGAGAAATTTGTCATAACATTTGGGCTAGCGCACACGTGATAAAGTATTTTCTCCACAGAACTAACGAACAATAGTTTTACGGAGGTCCTAGATGTAAGATGTGAAAAACGTAGAGGAGATGATTTGTCCGGTGTTTACATGGACAGTGTGCATTTGTCCGATGTTTGTTTTCCAAATCAGTGTGCGTATCTATGCTCTCATTTTAGATTATTTACATATGACACTTTCACCGGCCGGTGACCGCATCTTACAGACCAGTGTGGTTGAGTTATTTGAGAACATATCGACCAAAACGATCTAGCCCCCGTTCTGGTCAGTAGTGAAAGTCGAAGAGACATTCACATTAGAGCAAGTTTAATAGTATAGCCCACTACTAGCTCCAAATTATCTATAACCAATGTAATAGCTAATTCATATAATTGCTGCTTACTATACTATTAATAACTGGTCCCACCTGTCATACACACATTACGTCTTGGAGTTCGTGCTGCAGTTGGTTATAGATCTGTAGCCCGCTGCTCTTCTCTCTCTTCCTTTATCTCTTTAAAATATGTTTATAGCTGGCTTATAGCCTGCTATTGTACCTTCTCTTATCGTTCCAAAGGCGCTATTAACACGTATATTTCTTGACAAAAGTGTCTTGTCATGGAAGATCGGAACCATTATAGTGTTGGGGAGAGGGGAGCAGGTCATCCAGGGAGGGTGTGGGCAGCACAGGAGACGCAACTGTCTAGGTGAAGTTGCAGCGGTGGGACTGAGTGAGAGGGAAAGGGATTAGGGTTGGGAATTGTTGCATGAGTCTCAAAGCGATGGAAGGGTGTTTTACGTCAAATGCCATGTATACAATGCCCTTTTTCTTTTATTGTCACTTTGACATATATCATTGCGGAATGCATAATATATATAGCGAATATGTAAATTTTGTTTCGAAACAAAACGTCTCCAAAGAAGGTTTTGCCATGATTATATTCTCACTTTTCAATTCCCGAGTGATTAGTTTTTAGATAGTCCGATTATTTTACGTATGTCAGTGTCGCAGTTCTGCAACTCTGGCCCTGTTTAGAAAACTAGCCCAGAGTTATTTTGAGAACTATTTTTTAGCACAAGGAAATAGCCCTCTAATAAAATAGTTCTAAGTTGTTTAGATCCGAGGATTATTTTAAGAGCTATTTGGCTTTTAATGCACCTTCCCATGAAGAGAGAGAAAAGACACTTTTCAGTGGGCCCCACCCGTATAGCCCCAATTAGCACCCCTTGAGGGTGGTAGTTTTTTTATGGGTTATTTCCAAATAGCACTAAAATAACTCACCTGTTTGGAACTTTTGGGCTATTTAGGGTTATTTGAGGGAGGGCTTAAAAATAACCCATGGATCGATCGTAATTTCTTTGGCCAAAATAAGCGGAACCACGCATATAAATGCTAGCCGGCAAACTCTT